TCCGCCTCTTTACCTATTACATTGTTTAAGTGATTTCAAAACTTTAAAATTTAATAAAAATTTTTATTTACATCTCTATTTTCTATAAAATTTATATTTTTATAATTCAATTGACAAATCTTTCAAACAAGATCGATGAGTAATATGAAATTTAGAAGAAAAAAATTCATGAAATTTCACTAACTCATTGACTTGGTTATCAAAATTTCACTGATCAACAGAAATTCAGTGACTTAGTGAAATTTCATTGACTTAGACTTGGTCATCAAAATTTTATTGACTAACTAAAATTTCATTGACCTATCTTAGGCCAGTGAAATTTCATTAATTTTTTTTTTTTTTAGAATTTTGTATTTATCATGGATCTTATTTTACAGATCTTGATGAAAAAATTTTACAAATACAAATTTTATAAATAAAAAAAATTTAGATCAAAAGTTATATAATTTTGTAATTTTTAAATGAGTTAAAAAAAGTAATAGGTGTTACATGAAGCGGTATAGTCATAGTGGGAGAATTTGTGTCACCGTATAATTTGAAGGACCTATATTATTATTATAAAAAATTGTGTTGCCTTTATATTCAAAAACAATATTACTAGAAATCATAAGCAAAAAATCCTGTAAATTTATAGAAACATATAAATTAATATTTCACAATTTTAACCTCCACTTTTTTTAATATATATTTTATAAAGGATGTTTTGTTATATGGTGAAAAATGATTCATAAAATAGAATTTTTATATACAAAATTCATACAAATTATGTGACACTGTTATTTTTGGACCATAAAATGAGTTTTTTTCCTCTTTAAAATGATCACAAAAGAAAAAAAAAAATCATTTTATGTGAGTTTTTTGTATGAAAATTCTATTTCTACAACATTATTATTGAATATCAACCCTTAGAAAAACTAAACTAATATTGCTATAGGTGAAGAAGTCATAAGACGTTTGGCATTTGAGAGGCAACAAGAATTGAGGCAACAAGAATTGAGGCAATCGTATCAAAATGTTGTTGAAGAGGACTTTGTTGGGTTTGAGGAAGACTTGAACAAGGTTGTGAAACATTTGCAGAGAGTTGGTGACTGTACTCCTGGTCGAGTTGTCTCTATTTTTGGCATGGGTGGTTGGGGGAAGACCACTCTAGCTAAAAAAGTATATCATCACAAAGATGTCCGGAGTCACTTTGAAGGTTTGGCATGGGTATGCATATCTCAGCAGTATAAAAGAAGAGATATTCTAGAAGAAATCTTCATCAATCTTGTTCCAGAGAGGAAGAAAGATGTTGTTAGGATGACATATAATGAGTTGTTTGAGCAGCTTTATAAAGTCCAGCAAAGTAAAAAATGCTTAGTTGTACTGGATGATATTTGGTCAATAGAGGCTTGGAAGAGCTTGGAACCGGCCTTCCCAAATGGAAACACAGGTAGTAAAATATTGCTGACGACTCGTCATAAAATATTGGCTTCACTGATAGATCCATACTCTATCATCCATGAACTCCGGTGTTTAAATGACGAGGAAAGTTGGGATCTACTTCAAAAAAAATCATTACTAAGAAGAGATGGTAGAGGTAATATGAATCAATCCACATTGCTATATATTTTGATACAAATTAAATTATTTCAATGTTAGTTTTCATATCATCTGTGTGATCTATTATCATCTAAAAAGATTAATGACCCATGGGTTGAAATTTGGGAGAGGTATGGAAAATACTTTAGCTCTACTGGCCATGGGGTCATGCCAAATGTATTTAGAATATTCATTTAGGAAAACTACATAAAATTGAAAACCTAGGGATTACTTTACAGTGAGACAGAAAAAAAAATTTTTACACAAACATGCTTGCATCTCCATAATTTTACACAAATATTAGATACTTCCAGAGTACTATATTATCTACATGATCTAGTATCGGCCAATGAGAAACCGCAACACACTAAATAGTCATCGTTTGTCTCCTACCTACCCCACAAAGATGACTTAACATGTTTCATTCATAAAAGATTTTGTTATGCAATTAATTTGAAGCACCATATATCACTAATTATATATTAAAATTTGAACGACTTATGTCATGTATGACAACTTTGTACTACTAGCTCGAAGAATGGAATCTGAAAGAAGGTACATACATCACTCTTTCTACTTTTTTGTATGCCTTTTTATAATAAGTTAAAATCAACTAAAATAGCAAATTTCCAAAAGGGGCCACAGTTCACTTCTTGCCCCTTAACATCACTCTCTCTGCACCAAAGGCATGCATGAATTTGAGAAATCCTATTTCTTCTTCTTTGTTGATATAGAACTTTTGATTGAAAAGATGCAAGTATCAATGTAAACAGTGCTGACGTTGCGGCAAAGTTGAGGATATGACTGTTTTGGAATTCAAAAATTGGTTGAAAAAAAGGGTTCTAAAAAACTATCCCTTAAATAGAAACAAAAAAGCTTGTTGATGTAGTAAATTATTTAAAAACTCATGGATGATGCAAGTATCAGTGTAAACAATGCTAACTTTGAGGCAAAGTTAAGGAAACGGCTGTTTTGGAATTCAAAAATTGGTTGAAAAAAAGGGTTCTAAAAAACTATCCCTTAAATAGAAACAAAAAAGCTTGTTGATGTGGTAAATTATTCAAAACTAATGAATGATTAATTTCTAAATATATAGTTTGTGTATAAAATGTTATAGACTATCCTTATTACAGTTGTTTATGGGGAAATCAACTTATTAAAATTGAAATTGATTAAATCTTACCTTTGGTCAACTTTGTCACAAAAATGATTTGATGGATTTTATTGTTAAATTGAATTATGCAAGTTTGATTAGTAATTTCACAACTAATAATTTGAGTTTTATACTTGAGAATACAAAAGTTCAAAATTTTTAAAATAAAATTTAAATTACCAATCGATTTGATTTTGCCAAAAAAACAAAAAACAAAAAAAAAAAAGAAAGAAAAAAAGTTTAAAAATCAATCCATATTACAAGCTCGCTTTAGAATTATCTATCTAAATATGTATAAAAGGCCCCTGTTAAAAACTTGATTTGGGTCTTGAAAAAGTCGGCAAATTTCCCTTTTTTATTGCTTATTCATACAAGCATTCATTAGAGTTTTTATTTTTGTTGTTTTATAGACTCTAGGCAATAATCTATTTTTTTGTTGTTTTTAAATTTTGCATTTTGTTTTTTTTGTAGACTCGAGAGTGCTTGACACATACAAGGAGGCATTAGGGAGGAAAATGGTAAAGCTATGTGCTGGTGTACCGTTAGCAATCATTGTGCTTGGTGGACTTTTGGCAAGAAAGCATACATTAGTGGAATGGGAGACTGTATACCAAAAAGTTCGTTTGCATGAATGGAACGGCAAGCTAATACAACGTGACAATGTAGTATCAAAGGTGTTAGCTTTAAGCTACCATGACTTGCCTCATCAATTGAAGCCATGTTTTCTATATTTTGGTCACTTTTTAGAGGATTGCGAGATAGATGCTGAAAGACTATATCACTTATGGATAGCTGACGGTATAATTGTAGATGATGATAGAGTGGGGAATGAAGCAATAATGGATGTGGCAAAACGTTACTTGGGTGCACTAGCACAGAGGTGCATGGTTCAAGTACAAGTACAAAAGTATACTCAAAGGATCAATTATTGCCGCATTCATGACCTTATGCTGGATCTGTGTTTATCAAAGGCAAAAATGAATGATTTTCTCAAGATCATTCATCTCCAATGTGAAACTGATCTAGCTGATTGCTTTTCCACCACATCAACAACTACTGCTCCTAAGATACGCAAACTTGCAATTCATTTGAATAGGGATGTCAAAAGAGTTGTCCTCCCTGAATTGAAGACAACTAAACATCTAAGATCAATATTGTTCTGCAATCTAAGACGTGTCAACAAGTCTTCAATAGAGTTGAACTCTCATTTCAAGTACTTCAAATTGCTTAGGAATTTGGATCTTGAAGGATTGAAGTTGAATGAAAAGTCAGTCAAATCAATAGGTAACTAATTAGCTTGAGGTACTTGAGTTTTAGAAGTTATACCGAAGTGGCATTTGTCTATCTGCAAGTTGAAATACTTGCAAACCTTGGATTTACGACATTGCGAGTTTAACTCAAGTGAAGTAATAGTCTTACATGGAATGGAACAATTGAGGCATTTGTATATTCCTCATTCTTGGGGTCCCAATGCTAAATTCAAATTTGATGGGCTGAGCAACCTCAAAACATTAGGAGGGTTTCACACAGGATCTTGTGATGTGAATGATCTGTGTAAATTGATCAATCTTCGGTAACTAGAAGATGCAACTTTCTTGGAGGAGGACAATCTAGACTTAGCGACTTTCATCAACTACCTAAACATCAGTGCCAACCACCTCCGACAAACATCCTTATCAGTTTATTTTTCCTTCGAAGAAGATGAGTCGACTATTCTCAAACAACTGTTAGGGTGTCGCCATCTTTACAAATTGTCTATATTTGGATTTATTCCCGAGTTACCAAAGTACCAAGATTTCTCTCGCAGCATCATCAACTTACAGTTGTGCTCATGTAAACTTCAAGAAGACCCTATGCCAACATTGGAGAGGCTACTTTTCCTGCAATTCCTCAATTTAGATTTTGATGCCTTTGTAGGGGACAAAATGGTTTGCTCAGCTAATGGTTTCCCCCAACTCAAAACCCTACAACTCCAATGTTTGATGCACTTTAAAGAGTGGGAGGTGGAAAGAGGAGCCCTGCCCAAGCTCTCTGTTTTAGCCATTCATTATTGCCAACGACTGGAAATGGTTCCAGAGGGCCTAAGATTCATTGATACCCTCCAAGAATTTACAATTGAAGAAATGAGCGAAACATTTAACAACAGGCTTCTAGTGATCGATGGTGAAGAAGGAGAAGATTTTGACAAAGTGCGACATGTGCCTTTCGTCAACATTCGGTAAATTTCTTAATTTCGTATAGTCCTTTCCCAAGAGACGAAAGCACAGTCGGGTCTCTTATCATTTCTTTCACATCCCCCTCATTAATTTTCATCATAAAATTTGTTGATATATCTCTCTACGCTTTTTTGCCTTTATATTGGTTTAAGGGTGGACAAATTTCCACAGAATCAAAAAACTGAACCAAACCAAACCAGCCTCTTTAGATTGGACTGGTTTGATTTTTTGAATACGTTTAGGTCATGTTTGTTTAGGTGGACATGAGTTTGGGATTGGACTAATAGTCCAATAAAATTATTAATCCGATATTTGGTTAAACAATTGAAGTACGGATTAATTATTTTAAACTTGACTATTAGTTAAGATAGGATACATAATCCAATGAATTTGTATCATGGGAACGTTAATCCAATCCGCCCAAACAAACATGGCCCTAGTTTAGAGTTTTCAATTCTTCAATCCAATGGGTTTGGGTTGATTTTTGGTTATAAGATTCAATTTATATTGGCATGTTTTTGCCTAATTGGTCCATTCTAATGGACTTGATTGCAACTAATCATTTCTCACTATTTATTTTGATTTTCAGTCGATAGGATATTGACCAATGGGAAGTGGAAGAAGAAAATACTAGAAGTTAGAGTTGGAATTCATGGTACTTAATTTTATTTTATTATTGGATTTGATTTGTATAGGTTGTATTTAAGCTTGAGTTGGAGTTCATTATATTATTCACAACAGTTGGCTTGTATTAAATAATATTTATTTTATGTTTGCATTATATTTAAATATTAAAGACTTATTTATTTTAATTATTTATTATTGATTGATTATTTTTTTGGATTGGATTGATTTGGTTCAAGTGCATGATTCATTTAAGTTGGCTCTAAATTTAATGTCAACTTAAACTAAACTGACCCAATCACACCCCTATATTAGTTCATATCCATAGAGATTTTTTTAATACAAGGTCTGAGCAATAAAAGTTGGAATTTTTTTTATAATAGACCCCTTGTAATAAGATTTTTTTATAAGAAACAAACAAAACCATAAGTTATAGAGTAAACTATCAATAGGTCCTAATAGTTTGACTTAATTCCAATCAAGTTCTATTGAAAATAAGTCTTGATAAAATTGTCGTTAAAAATAATTTTTTTGTGAGAAGGACAACACATGCAACGCACACAACCCAATTATTGAAACAACTAATTTCATTTTTTTAACTTTAAAATATTGTAACTCTTAATTTAAATTTTCTTTGTTTTTTAAATAATATTTTTTGGACTACGCTTGTCGAATCCATTCAATAAGAGTTCGTATTGAATATGAAATTTTGAAGAAAATGACAAAATTTCACTATGCTATTTATTTTTGAGCAATGAAAATTTTATTATCTATGATAAAATTAAAAGTTAAAAATCCAAAATTAAATGCTACAAAATGAAAAAACATATTTCATATTGTTTGTAGATTACAAAGAAATTTCACTATCTACTAACATGAAGTAGAAAATTTTAAAATAGAGGGATAAAATGTAAAATTAACATTGATTGCTAAAAAGATTGCGATAAAAAGAAATTTCATGCTCAACGAGAAACTTTTGTTATGTATGGAGTTTTTCTTTTTTATTTTATTTCCTCCTATGCTCATTAATTTGTTTTTTATGAGCAATAAATTGAAGTGATGGATTAAAATATATATATATCTAGATATATTGGATAGTCATGAAGGATAGAACTTGATTTGATAAAGAAACTAAATAAGATAACGACAAAGTTACGTAACTCAAATTTTGTAGCTCAAAAGTTGCTCAAATGGCCAAAACGACGTCGTTTTGAGTACAGAACAACATAAAAATGGCCAAAACGACGTCGTTTTGGGTACAGAACAACATAAAAATGGCCAAAACGACGTCGTTTTGAGTACAGAACAACATAAAAATGGCCAAAACGACGTCGTTTTGAGTACAGAACAACATAAAAATGGCCAAAACGACGTCGTTTTGAGTACAGAACAACATAAAAATGGCCAAAACGACGTCGTTTTGAGTACAGAACAACATAAAAATGGCCAAAACGACGTCGTTTTGAGTACAGAACAACATAAAAATGGCCAAAACGACGTCGTTTTGAGTACAGAACAACATAAAAATGGCCAAAACGACGTCGTTTTGAGTACAGAACAACATAAAAATGGCCAAAACGACGTCGTTTTGAGTACAGAACAACATAAAAATGGCCAAAACGACGTCGTTTTGAGTACAGAACAACATAAAAATGGCCAAAACGACGTCGTTTTGAGTACAGAACAACATAAAAATGGCCAAAACGACGTCGTTTTGAGTACAGAACAACATAAAAATGGCCAAAACGACGTCGTTTTGAGTACAGAACAACATAAAAATGGCCAAAACGACGTCGTTTTGAGTACAGAACAACAAGTATAAATAAAAAGTTGACAATAAGTTTGAGTTTCTTTTCTCTTATTTCTTTGAGATTTGTATGTTTGAGAGGTTCTATCTCAGTTGGGTGTGAGTTTCTTCCTCAATGGAAGCGAGTTTCTTACAGGTTTCTTCCTTGCGAGCTAAGAATCGTGTTTCTGAGCAAGAAACGTCAACCAAGAAGGAATTTTTTGCCACTGAGAGTGAAAAGCTCGATAACTTAAGCTAAAAGTGCCAATTTCACCTTTGATGAGGGCAAGCTTCCATCTCTACAATGAAATATTTTGATGACTTACAGAGAAAAGTACTTATAGCATATTTAATTTTTAATTTTTTTCACTATTTTAATACAAAATTCAAAATTCATATGCCTCAATGTCTCTTGAGGATTATGCCTATCCTCACAAGAGGTAAAATGCCTTGCGTTACACATTTGCCTTTAAAAACTTTGATTATTAGTTGTAAGAGGTGCCAAAACGAGAAATGTCGGCAGTGGTTCTAAAAATTATTTGGGTTTCGAGGTTGGGAACTATAGAACACATAACACCACCAGCCTCTAGGTTGTTCAACACAAAGTGAGACACAATTTCGTTTTCCAAAGGAGCCACCGAATCAATATTGTCCTTGAACAAAATCATTTTAAAGATTCCATACAAAAAAAAAATGGTGTGGGATAAATGCGAAAGAAAATTGTCAGAGAATATCAATTAAGGAATACAATCATACAAGGATGATTGGTGGTGAGGAAAACAATTTCAACTAGCAAGCAATAGATTCCCAACGAAGGAACAATCATACAAGAATGATTCGTGGTGAGGGAGATAGAAAAATTCTTCTTTAGGGTTTTTTCCATTTTTTTTTAAGGTTTGAGAGTTTTGAGGTGGGCTGTTCAATGAGAATGGCGAGTCTCTAGAAATTGCAAAGCTGGAAAATGTGAATTCTTCAATGAGATGATTCAGAGATATGCACAAAGCTATCACTTAGTACAATAATCTGTTAGGGGCAGTAAAAAAATGCTAATGAATAGGCAATAACTTGACTGTCAAGAAAAAAAACAAAAACAAAAAAGGTTGCTTCCCACAAGGTATATGTCGCATTTGAACTAAATAAAGGGAAACTTTGAAGAAAATGTTGAGATTTATTATACCACATCCCACCAATGTGAATGAAAGCACACAATGCACACACCAAAGAGAAAAACAATCAAACAGATTTATGTTGTTGGCACCAATTGCCAACATCCACGGGAGACAGATTTCAATATGAATAAAAATAAAGAATACATGTGAGATGGTCAACACACTCAAAACCCACATCACTACCCGAATCCCATGCTCAAGAGTAGTTGAGCCCTCGTTAACCCCGGTGCCTTCACGGTATTTTTTGTCACCCTTACATCTCTATTTTATCCTCCTCTTAATCTCACCAAAACCTATAGTCTCCACGACTATTTATAATAGCCTACTCACAAAAAACTTAGTTCCATACAATTAGGTAACCAAAACCTACACATTGGGTTCCCCAGTAGATTCCGAACTCTACTATCCTAATCCAAAGACATGTTTAAACTAATCTAACAACTGTATGGGACCCACATATATCACGTAAGTGGACTAATCCTAATGAAATACTAATAGAAGTTACTAAATTAATCAAGAAAAATGATATGCAGCCAAGACATCACATATATAAAAATAAAGACAATGATAATAATTATATATATACTAGCAGCCCGCACACATAACTCGAAAAAAAAAATAACATTATAAGAATAATGACAAAGAAAAATGCACATATATTGTTTGTTGCTCAATGAAATCACATTGGAGATAAAGATAATAATAGATGGAAAACAAACAATAACAATGCTTCCAGGAGCGCAATATGCCATCACTTACTTTTTTGCCCGGTTGAGTTTGATTATTTGATCGACTTGGATGAGTTGATTGGCTCCTTCACAGCCAGATGCTACCAAAAGACATCAATGCTCCCAAGAGCAAGACTGGGTGAATCCTTGGATCTCCCAGACGATTGTGGATTCCATTCCTGATCCTGCCAATTCTCTGTTGCATTCATGTCCTTTCGGATAGAATGGTTTTGGAACCTACTGACCAAATAGGATCTGCATCTTCAGGAACTAGTGCAGGAGTTTTTGCTCTCTGCAATGAGATAAACAAAAAAGGTTTAAGCAGACAACATCTTGTATGAAAGAGAACTCTAAGCTCCAGAGTGTATACATCCTTAAAACCCCACAAAGTTCAATGAGTATCAATCTAAGAAGCACAGACACTTCTAAGAAGGTAACGTGCCGTGTTTGACACTAACATAACACAACACTCACTGGACACTTTCCAACACTTAGACACACATGAAACATATTACGAGTTTGAATAAAATAACTTGAAATCTAATGATAAAACAAAAATTAAGTAAATTTATACCTATTCTCCTCCATCATACTTCAAAAATGAATATTTTACTTAAATATTCATATATATGACATAATAATTATTTATCCTTATATATGACATGTAATAAATAAAAGTACAGTCCAGTATGCTGGTTAGAGCAACCAATCTTTCTAGCCAACACCTTAGCTTGATGCAAAATTGACAAAAAAAGAAAAAAAGGAACAGTTGATTCTTCTCTGAACTATTTAATGCCTACCAGAAAAAAGGAACAAAAAAGTAGAAAAAGGAAAAGAAAATTTCAGAAAAGAAATGCAGATAGTGTTGTCAGAATCGTTATGAAAAATATATGTATTGCGGATTCATATGTTGGTAGATTGAATTGTGAAATATGTTTTGTATTGTATCAATTTCATATTGTATCACAATTTAACATGTATTTCGTGATTAGATATCAATACCTTCTCTTTGACCTTTTGCCCTATTAACAGCATTTCGCAATGTCAATTGCCATTGCCCGCACTTGTTTAACAAACCCAAATCCAAATAAATCCGCAAGCAAAAATGATTCCCACACTCCCTTCGCTACAAAAAATTGAACTATCATGGATCTAATTCAGATGAAAGCAACAAAGAGCTTACACACATAGACCATTTGGATTTGGGTTGAGACCCAAAATTATGAACATATACCTCATAACAAGTATGTTTAAGCTACTCGTCCAAACAAGTCCTAAAGAATGTCATTGATTGCAAACCGGTAACCAAACGAACTAGCGATCAAAAAGTTGGGCCCACTTGAAAAACAAAAACCTTTTGTGTTATTTTTATATTTGCAATGAAATCTCATTAATCCTTCTGTTATATTAAATTTTGAATTTTCTTTCCAATTTCTTATGAGTTGAATATTTGGGTTTCTAATGAATGCATATTGACCTTTTTGTCCAATTTGTAAGTTTTTAAAGATAATTTTTCATATGCTTTAGTACTTCATTTTTTCAA